GCTTCAATTGACGCATGGGAGGACAACATTGATGTACTTATTCGTGAGATACCGTCCGAGACGTTGAAAAGAGTATGCCAATATTGGACTAAGCGGACTGGGTGGATTAGTTGAGGAGCAGTCACGGTCAACATTTGCATGAAATAATCTTCAAACATTAAATTCAATCGACCGTACTTTCGATTCAAATAAAGTTTTTTTTTTCTTGAAAAACTTTCCTATAGCTCCTGAAGTATAGTAGAAGAACATTCTACGTTTACGCTTGTCGGCTGAACGTGACTAGAACCCATTTCAGAGGTGGATGGTGAGAGGTACTGAAAATTGGATCACTTACAGCAACTTCTAACCAAAGGCGTTGTTGTCAAGAGCAGTGAGCCGCAAAAAACGGTCTCCGTGCCAGGATTGACGGCCAGTAAGGTTTTGTTATGTATTTGAAGACTCTACTATGAGCCGCTCTCCCACAATCAAATTCTTAATTCATTGGCAATTGGATTGCCTGTAGAAATGAATCGCCCACAAGCGCCCAGATTTGACCAATGGAAGAGTAAACGTATTTCTTTAGAACAGACCATAGATCGGTAGATTAATATGCATCCATCTTTTATTCCGGCTTTCGCAACAAGTAATTTCCAATTGTTCTTCTCCCTAGCAAATGATTTGGCTGGTGAAAAATTGGCCTCGAGAGAAGTCTTAGAAAAAATCGATTGTACCGATTTCTTGCCAAAAGAGGCAGGGATTAATGGGATTAACTTCGAAAAGCTATCGAGTGAAATGGTGCATGTTTGACATGCATAGTATAATTATAACTATGAAAAACAAATCCTTCAATTTAATGGGGAAAATAATGGACTAAATTTTACTAGACCTAGTATACAACATATTCAGCTTTCTTTTTCATGCATCTTTAGTCCTCGAAATATTCTTAAAACCTGCTTAAATTGTTCACAGTTAAAGGGCTAGTAAATAAGTCCACATATACATATTTAGTATTTCCTTTTTGAAATTTTCTCAGTTCTTATTTTGTTGATTTTCCTACTTTTCACTTGTAAATGGTAGCTCTCGGAAAAATTTTTCAACTGTTTCTTCAAGTCGTATATATGTATGTACATATTACATACATATGTCTGAGCATGTACACATTATTATTATGACTACAAGATACTACAAAAATAGGAAGACAGCAAAAGTTTTTCCGGCGTTGATACAAATTTAGTGCTGATGTATAAATACCGTAAAAGTAATGCTCAACTACAAATATATATATATGTACGTAAACACACTGTGTTGAGGTAAACTGGTTGAGAACTAATGCGTTTAGGTGGACACATAAAACTAATGTAAATAAAAGTAGTTGGAATTATATTATTTATTTCTATTATGAGAACTTTTTTATTTTAATTTTAATTTCAATTTTAATTTCAATTTTAATTTTAATTTTAATTTTAATTTTAATTTTAATTTTAATTTTAATTTTAATTCTAATTTTAATTTTAATTTTAATTTTTATTTTAATTTTAATTTTAATTTTAATTTTAATTTTAATTTTAATTTTAATTTTAATTTTAATTTTAATTTTAATTTTAATTTTAATTTTAATTTTAATTAATCAAATGAAAGTAGTCACAGTTTATTAGCATTATTTATTAATTAAAATATAGTTAAAAAGTAACTGGTTGAAACCTAGTTTAATAAAGCCATCAGTTCTTAGCTAAGCTTACCGCCAGTATAGTCTCTGAAGTTTTACGCCAAAAAGTATGTATAAAAGTCCAAACGTATATATGTATATATGTAAATGTTTACATGCCCGTCTTCCTTAAAAGTTTCCACCGAAGAGTTAAAATTAAAAAAGGCAAGTAAAGATTAATATGAGTAATATTGCATAAGTGTATGCATATATGTATTTATATACGAGTATGTATGTTAATGTGTACTTGTCTGCCCGTGTGTTATGTCTCCACGCCATAACAAATCCTTAAACCGTTCTTCGAAGTCAACGAATGCCCGTTAACAGCAAAAGCTACTTTTTCCCGCCGCTTCATTTTTGTTTTTCTTAAAAGTTTTCTTACAATGTTTTTTCTTAACTCACCCACACACACATACAGACACACTTACATGCACCTACAGAAAGGCACTGACTGACTCGACTTGGTGGATAAAGTTTATTTTGAAATGTTTACTTTTAAATTCTCCTTTCTTATGCTCTGCGTTTCTTATACGCAGCATCTTTCCGCATTTCTTCATTACTATTTCTGATTTAATTTTTTTGTTTTTTTTAGTTTCCTTATTTGCTTGCTTGTTTATTTTCCTGCCGTTTAAAGTCAGCGTGAGCAGCGTGTTCTCTCTATTGCCGCAAGCTTAAGTCAAGTTTGTACTATTTAATCGCTTCGTCGGATTTATTTTGAGTGCAGCTGTTCGCGTACGCTGCTCTTGGGTGATTTACTAATTAAAGATTCTTCACAGGGACTCAATAGATAAAATTTAGTTTAGATTGGAGCTCTGAGTAATTGAAAAAAAAAAAAATAAATTCATAGTATTGTAGGATAGTCGATTTAAAGAACTCTTAAGACGCATGTGAAAATCAGTTCAGTTTAATTTTAAATTTTGTAGAAAGTCTGAAAAACTAGAGTGTTATCCATTTTGCGATAAACACAAATGAAAGCCTCGCGAGTTTTGGCAAACTTCAATCCATTTGAGGTAATTTACGATCACTTTTTGGCACATGTTGGGGGATTTTAGCCTTAACTTAACTTAACGAATGTGAAAATGAGGAGTTAAAGGTTTATCCACATTGAGACGTTCTTTCACGTAGCTCATCAAAACAGTTTAACGGGATCACATCGCATGATTTCGGTGGTCAAACGACATCGGCAAGGCGAGAAAACACACGACCGGTAAATTTCTCTCATAATAATGTCATATTCGTTCGTATTGTGTCTTGCTGTAACCTCACATTGCCTTCAACTCGTGTTCTTCAGTGACAGTCTAGCCGTTGTTGTTTTAAAAGAAGTAAGGTCTAATCACACTTCCTGACCAGAGTCCAAACCACACAGTAAGTTTCGTTTTTGTAATTATATATACCTGGCGCTTTGTAACCTGTAAAGCGACGAGCTTCTCCTACAATTTGTGTTTTTGAGTCTTGATGTTTTTTTACTTTAATTAATTTTCTCTTTCTGGATGTTAGCGCTGTACAAAGCTGCCCGTGTTGGTAATTACTCTTCTCAATTATTTGAGCGTTCTCGAAGAGTCTAATACGAAAATTTTTGCTTAGTTACGTATCCCCCGAGTGAGAAATGCCCCTCATCGCTGAATTTTTTTGTTTGAAAACTCATCGCCCTCTTGTCGTTCAGACACCCAACCGAAGGTGTGTAAGTCCAAGTGTAAAATGCGACATAATATGCTGAAAGAAAGTCCCAGGCAGCATATTGTGCAGAAATGGTATAAAAGAAGGTTGGCATCGAAGGGCCCGGTGAGGACCTTTTCAATTTTGTTTTCTTTTCCTTCTGAAACTGTCGGTCCCACAACCGTATAAGTTATGCAAGCATACCAAATTCTGACAAAGCGACGTAGGCTATAAGCTTCAAAGCCGATAAAAAGTTGGTGGGAATCGATAATTTTCTCACGGATCTTCTTAAAGATTTGACCAGAATTGATTGGTGAAGTTATCAGTCCTAAATCCGCTATGATAAAGTACAATCAGTTCATTGACGTCAGATCCTTTCGTTTTGTTTGCCTTTGCCATAGTAGAGTTTTGGAACGTAGTTGCCTGGGAACTACATTTGTCTTTCAATAAAAACTTCTGCATATCTTCTCTTTAAAGTTATCATAATGAAGAAAAATAATTTCTACTGCAAAAGTTCACCACACGTTTAATTCCACGTAAAATTTTGTAATGTGAAAAATTTGTGAAAATTTGATTCGGCCATGAAAACTTTACAGGGGCTACATCCTGCATCTGGTGGTATATGCAATGCAACGTTATTAGGTTACCGATTTCACGAAATGTTAATTAAAACTTCAAACATTACTGCGGAAATGTATGTCTGTATGTATATATATGTGTATGTGTATGTATATGATAATGTTGGCTGAAATTCCCGTAGACGAGGTAAATGGCCATGGCATTCGTGGCGCTGAGAAAGTTCGTCCACTTCGATGCGCAAAAATAAATAATAAAATACGTTAAAAACGTTCACAAGGATGTCTCCGAACAGATAGTTGAGTTTTTTCTTAAACATATATGTATGAAGGTGTACATTAATTACCGATTCGCAGGAAAAACTTTGAGGTCTGAAAACACAGACGGCGGGAAAATAGAAAGTTACATAGGATTACAAGTATTTTTTTTTTAAGTTTTAAGTAAATATAACGGTGCAAGAAGAATTTTATTTTCACAAGAATTGATTTCTATTCAAAAATTATTGAAATTGAGTTTTTAATAAATTTATTGCCTTCCCATTTATTGAACAATTTATGAACAATGAGCTTGAATAATAATTTACAAGTAGATGTTTGAATGTTACGTATACGCACTGACGGTATTGATGTAAAAAGTTCAAAGGTACAAAAATAAAAAAAATTGTTTGAGATTTCCAATAAAGGGATTCTCTGAAAAGAATAACAGTCAAGTAATAGTAATAAGAAGTGTTATAATGCTTTATTATTTTAGGTGCAGCAGTGCGTATACGCGATTTTTTTTACTTGTAAACCTTTATTAAGATGTACCAGATATGAGCAAAAATTTGCTGAAAATCAAGAACCCTAATGTACAATATAATTTTTTATATCGTATGGCACAATATCTATTACGGTAAATGATGGTGTGGCGATAATTAATTACGTCAAACGTGCAATTTTATTTTATTGCGCCAAGTATTATTTTCAACTTTAATGCGCCCCAAAATATGGCTCATCAATTAAATTTATTTCATTTTAGTCTTCATTAACTCATCTGCTATTTTATTACACATTTTATCATTTCGCCATTTGCTACACTCTTTCAGGTTATTTTCGTTATTGCCGCATTGATTGCTTGCGCGCATGCCAAACCCGGTGGCCCGGCTGCCTACTCCATCTCCGCACCGAGCGTGGATCATGCCTCTGTGGGCAGTTCACAAGAGCACACGGTGAAGGGTCATTATGGTCAATCCTCTCAATCGGACTACTCTAGCGCCGTACAGACTGCGCATTCACAATCGCATGTACAACGTTCGAGTATCAGTAATGATGCCGGCATTGCGCCACATGTTGGTGGTAAGTGAAAAATGGAGGGGAAGGTATTTGTCCCTTTGAGCTTTTGAGTGTTAAAAATATTGTATATATAAAGTGACTTAGATAAAAATAATTCACAAAATTATTTCATTTGCACCTCTCCCCATAACATATTCACCACACTTTTCGCACATTCACCTCTTTTGCACATTACGCTTGCTTTTTTTCTGCACTCTTGCACTTTACTTTCCAACACATAACCACTAATACATTGTCAAACGAAAAAATATACTGCAAAAACCGCAAGGTCACGTTATCGCCGCCGCTGCTCCCGTTGCGCATGCTTATGCGGCTCCCGCCTACGCTGCGCATGCATACGCTGCTCCAGCAGCAGCTCTCAGTCATAGCTATGCCACCGCACCTGCTTTTACATTGGCCCATGCTGCTCCGGCCTACTCTCATGGAATCGCTTATGCTGCTCCGGCAGCGAGTTATCATGCGCCAGCTTATAGCTACCAACCTGCTCACGCAGCTTCCGCTCCAGTTATACAATACGCTGCTCCTGCACCTGCTTATGGACACTATGCTGCTGCGCCGCATAGCTATGTTGCTGCTGCCCCCGCTGTGAAATATGCTTCGGCACCAGGTTATGGTATGTAGATATGCACTATTGCTTTTAAAGTAACCTCAAAAATAATACTAATAAGTAGTTGTTGTACACTAAATATCTTTCATTTATTTCTCATGAATTTAAATAATTTGATAAAAGTGAAATGAAAAAAAATAAAACCAACTTAAACCAAAAAATAAATAAATTTAAATAAAGAAAATTAATTAACAAGATTTAAATAAAATAAAACGAAATAAAATAAATTAAAATTAATAAAAAATGTTAGAAAAAAAATAAAATTAAAAATTCAACTATATAAATATCAAATTAAATAAAAATAACCTAAAATATATATATATATATATAATTAATTTATAATACATAAAATAAATTAAAAAATAAAATAAATTACAATAAATGAAATAAAATAACAACCACAAAAGGAATTTATATATAATAAAGTAACATATATTGAAATATATTAATCAATAAATTGGAGGAAAATGAAATAAAATAATAAAACTAAAATAAAATCAAATAATATAAAATGAAATTAAATTAACTTAAAATAAAATAAAATAACTAAAATTATTTAAAATAGAATAACATAAAACAAAATAAGATAAAACCAAAAATAAAAAATAAAATGAAATCAAATAGACTAAAGTGAAAGAAAAAAAAATAAAATAAAATAAAATAAAATAAAATAAAATAAAATAAAATAAAATAAAATAAAATAAAATAAAATAAAATAAAATAAAATAAAACAAAATGACATGAAAAATATAAAATAATATCAAGCAAAGGAAAAAGATAAAACAAATTAAAATGAAATCAAATAAATAAAAATGAAATAAATAAAAATAAAGTAAAATAAAATAAAATAATTTAAAACAAAATCAACTAAAATAAAATAAAATAAAATATGATAAAGTAAAAATAAATAAAATGAAATCAAATAATACTATTCTACAATATTTGATTTAACTTTATTTATTTTTACTATAAAACGAAATAATAAAAAAAAAAATTAAATTAAATAAATAAAAATCAAATAAAATAAAGAAAATTAAAACTACGAGTAAATTAAATTAAATTAGTTTAAATTATTTTTAACTTAACATATATTAAGTTAAATTAAACAATAAATTAAAAGAAAATGAAATAAAATAAAATAAAATAAAGTTAAATAAAATTGCAATAAATAAAAAGTAGTATTCAATGAAAAAAATTAGGTAAAATAATAAAAAATAAAATAAAGGAAATAAAATAAAATGAATTAATTAAATAAAATATAATAATATAAAATAATATAAATTAAAATAAAAAAAAAATAAAAAAATTAAAACTAAATTAAATTAAGAGAAAATGAAATAAAATAAAAAAAGTAAAATAAAATAGAATTAAATAAAAAATAGTATAAAATGAAATAAAATAAAGTGAAATAATATAATTTAAAATAAAACAAATCAATAAAATACAAAAAGATATTAAGAAAAATCGAACAAAGTGAAAGAAGTAAAATGAAAAATTTTGAATTTATTTTGTCATAGTGTCCAATACGTACATATATTTGTTCGTCACGTAAAAAAAAAACTAACTATACTAATGAGTAATTTAATATAAAACTTTGCGCTGCTTACATAAATACTATATGTAATTTTTGCAATGAATATTATACATATATGTATGCTTGTTATGCGAGAATGAATTATGAATGAGTGAATATTACTATTTCGCCTTATACTACATTCAAGTTTATTTTAATAGGAGTACAATGAAATTGTATTAAGTTTATAATTCAATTAGAAATATACAACTTTTTTCATTACGGTACAATGCTAAGGTAAGACATGCATACATATATCCCTTTTTTAGTTTAGGCAAAAGTCGCACCTGGATGTCCACTTAATATAGGAAATTATAAATAATAATAATTTATAAAAATATAAAGATAAATTAAGAAAAAAGATCGTATTTAAAAAAATATATTTCACATAATAATCTGACTTTATTGGTTTATGTGCTATTTTCATTGTCGTAGCAACCGCCAGATTTTTTACGACTCTACCGAATTCATAAATGCTTGTGTACATGTATACATATATATAAATACACATAGCTGTATATGCTTACTGCATATTACTAAGTATTATAAAGAATAAAGGATACAAATTAACACTCAATATTGAAAAGCACTCAAATTTGCAATGCACACAGTCGTACAGGGTGTTCCATCTTTTACGTCGGTATCATTTATAGAAATCGCTTGTTTTTTCATTCATTGTTTATAAAAGCGGCGAAAAAGGAAAAGGAAAAGGAGCACCCTGTATATATACTATTGATGTGTACATATCAATTTAGTTGTCGTATCGCTAACTAACACCCATATTTATTGTCACTTTTAATCTACTTAAAAGCTTTGTTCTGCCAGGTGCAATGTTGTTGAACTTTGTAATGAAGCGTGTCTAAGCACTTGAAATATATATATGTATATGTATTTTTTTCATTTTAACTAGAATATAGACTCTGAAATTTTGAATGAATGAAACATTTCACACATACAAACATAAATCAATAACCAAAGTTATGTATAATAGCAAGTGTGTGTGTGTCTCTCAAAACTCACTTCAGTATGTGTGTACACATGCATAAGTACATAAACGTACATATTATATATGTACATTAAAAATGATTAATAGTCTTTATTTAGTGGCATTGATTGTTGCTCTTCAGGCTTTTAGGTTTAGATTAGATTGAATATTTCAAAATAAATTTTACTGTGGAATGGAAATCTACGTCTTTTCCTGCTTCTACTACCGAATACTGAATGGAGTACTATGAAAGCTAGAGTGCTTCCGCAAATCCCAACGATATCACTTAACCAGCACAGCTTCCACCTGCTCTGCTTCCAAAATTTACTTATCAGAGCCTGAATATTTTAACTCATAAGGACAATTGAAGACATATAGAAGACTATCCTTCCTTTTCGCGCGGATTTTTTCAAAACATGTGGCGCTGCGCGTTACCATTCGAAAAACCCGAGTTCGAATGCTTGTTTGACGAACATCAAAAAGAAAGAAAAAAATAGAGAAAATTATTTTTTTTTTTACCTGCCGCCGCGCTCGACATATCAAGCCCTTCGAAACCACACTTAGTTCTGAAACCACCTGATAAGGTTCAGTGGTGACAATGGTTGCAGACAGTGGGTACATTACTTTTATAGACTGAGTAGGGCAGACTAAGGTTGCAATCGTCTGGAATTCTTTCATTCGAAAGCTTCAAAGGTACACTTTTTCCGTCGCCATATTTAAAAAGCTCAGTCCGTTAGTCATGTGGCAACTGTTATATACACTTTATGATGGTTGGTTGACGGAACTTCTATTCCATTGCTGATGATTGGGTATCTTGATTCGCCCTTTCTGGTGATTAAGTTTAACTGCAATAGTGCAATCCGTAGAAATTTTCGCTTCATAAACTCAGTATGCTTTGAACAACGGTATCCAGATCGCTTCTTTAATTCCTGTTAAAATATATCCTGGTTTTGGAACCTTTTTTGCGGCGCCTATGAGAATTTTCGAGCATTGCACCTGTCCGCGATCTCTACAAACGTCTCACACTCACACCTTGCGGTTTTCTTTTCTTTTCTGTCTGGAAATACGGCTCGTTTTGTCTTCAACCTTCCAATATCTTTCTCCATAGCGCTAGTGTTTCTGTCGTTCGAAGTGTTACGAGATAGACTGTTTTGTTTTTCCCCAGAGCGATGTAATAATTGTCATCTTAACACTATTTAAGAAGGCTTTGAAGGCCAGTGGTTTCTTTCATGGCAATACGGCTCATAGATCCGTTGTTGTTGTTGTTGTTGTTGTTGTTGTTGTTGTTGTTGTAATTTTTGGGGAATGTTGCGGGTCGTTCCGGCATAAAGACATGACTGTCGCGGGAACTATTGGATCTTAGTCGCCTCTTGCGACAGGCATACCTTACCGCGGGTAAATTCTTGAACCCCTAACCCGCAGGGGGGCTCATAGATCCGTCGTGAAGAGTGGTTGTGAGAGTGGTTTCATCTAGAGGGAATATAAGTGAGGCAGCAAACTGGCAGGCTGACTGATCGCATTGCAATTTTTCAACGTTGAGGTTTCCTTGTGTCCATTTTTGAGCGTTCTTAGCTGCTCCAAGCCTTCATACATCTAGAACACTTGAGATTTATCTGCTGTCTAACACAACATCTTCTTAATGGATGTGGTATTTTCGATACGGATACCGCTGTGAATGCAATTGTGCTGTAAGAAAGTACATATTTTTAAATTCAGCAAATATTTTTCGCAAATAATCCAACCACAAAAAAAAAAAGGAAATTCAAAAAATGTATTTCCTAACAACCACTATAAGCTCATCATTTCTGCTCCATTACACTCAACATACTACGCTTTCAAATGTCTACATGACGTCCAATTTCCTACACATATCCACACACACACACAGACCAACAGATCTTGTTGTGCTCCACAGCTAAAAATTGAAATAAACGCTCGAGTGACGAAATGGACGTTTGTCAAGTCGATTCATTTATTTGTTGCATACTTTTGGACACATATTGGACAGTTGTACCAAATTTGTACCGTTATTCACTCATGTTGGTTGAATAGCAAGCATACGACTCCCTGTATACATGTGTACATGGCAAGAACAAATAATCAATCATTCTAAAATTCTTTATCTTCCTGCCGCGCTGTTGCCAGTGGACGCTGACGAGCGCTGGCTGCAGCTACATTCTGTTGCTTTTCATGCTGCCATCTCAGTCAAGTGGCTTCCATTGCAGGCCTCTGATTGATGTCTCGGCCGGCGCGCGCCGCCTGCCACTGGCAGTTTTTTTAAGGCAACTTGGTTCGGCTGTCAGTCAGTCAGTGCAAGCTCCATGCAAAGCTGCGCCATGGGCTGCGTACGCTGAAAAAGTGCGCGTCCAGTGAGCTTGGCGATTATCTCTATATGCAGTTTGCCTGCAGACTTACACAAATTCTTGTGCAGCTACGCTTAGCGCACTG